TATTCATTTAGGCTTTGGAGTTTTTTGAAGCGAACGAAGTTTCAAGACCAGTTACAATTCGAACGAATACTTTGCGAACGCGTCGTAGAGAATTGGCTCAAGTATTATAATGAATTCATCTTTTAATGTGTTTTAATCAATTCTTTTGGCGATTACGTTAATCGTTATTTTTTTTTATAGTCCTTAATAAATCGTGGTGTAAGCTTGGAACCAATTGGAAAATGGTCAAAGGTTGGATTAACAATATTTGATTCAACAGTTTCAATAGGTATGTTTTATTTTTAATTATCGTCATTGTAACTCAAATTAATACATATTTGTTTCTTAGGAGCTACGCCCGAATATCTTGCCGGCCATTACATTCTACAGTCTGCTTCGTCTTTTTTACCCGTTATGGCATTAGCACCTCAAGAAAATGAAAAGATATTAGACATGGCGTCCGCGCCCGGCGGAAAATCAACACATATTGCAGCATTAATGAAAAATACTGGTATAATATTTGCTAACGATTCTAATAAAGTAAGAACTAAAGGTCTCGTATCCAACATACATCGATTAGGTGTTAAAAACACGGTAATTTGTAACTATGATGGACGTGAATTTCCTACCATGTTGGGGGGGTTTGATAGAGTTCTTTTGGATGCTCCTTGTAGTGGAACTGGCGTCATATCAAAGGATCCATCGATCAAAATAAATAAGGTAATTAAGAAAAAGTATTTTTTACAGCTTAAGAATAATAAAATAATTGTTCTTTGATATTTTTTTTCCCAACCATAAAAATTTTAGACGGAAAAGGATTTTATTTTATTACCTCATTTACAGAAAGAACTTCTTTTATCGGCTATTGATTCCGTAGATTCCAAATCTTCTACAGGAGGATATATTGTCTACTCCACTTGTTCAATAACTGTTGAAGAAAATGAGACTGTTGTAAATTATGCTTTAAAGAAACGTCCCAATGTAAAGTTAGTTCCAACAGGATTGGATTTCGGAAAGGAAGGATTTACAAAGTATGTAATTTTTTATTATTATTATTTTTTTTTTTTTTTTGGCATTCGTTAATTGGATATGTGTTATCTTTTATATTCCACATTTTAGATACAGAGGCAATATCTTTCATCCTTCCCTGAGTCTAACTAGAAGGTTCTATCCTCATGTTCATAATATGGATGGATTTTTTGTTTCAAAATTTAAAAAGTTTTCAAATAGGCATGAACTAAAAAGAAAGAATGATGATGATGATGATGATGATGATGACCATAAAGGTAATATATAAAATAATCTGTTATTAAAGTAAAAAGTAGCAATGTATTAAATTTTATTTTATTTTAGATTCCAAAACCAAACTTAACAAATGATATTCTCAAGTGATGATATATAGTGAGATGATTCATTTTTAGTTGAAACCTATTTAATTTTTTTATTTTAAATCTAATGTTTTCGTCTATTGAAAAAAGTAAATAAAATAATTTTCACATAGATGTTGGTGGAAACTCGGATGAGAATGGTTTTATATCATCATAATATTATTATTATCGTATAATATTTCACTTAGTAACATGAATTCGCGAAATTACATCGTTCTTCAAGTTTTATTTGTCACATGTCACTAAATGAATCGATTCTATTAAAAAACAATATTTTCATTTAAAAATGGCTATAATGCCAAAACTTCAAAATATGCAAGGTGAACAACAAGATAAATTTAAAAGAAAAAATATCGGATAAATTTTAGAATTTTATCATATGAAAGAAATATTAAGATTCCTGCTAAAAAAATACAAAACCCTATAAAAATGTAAGGATTTTCTTGAATAAGAAAAAGAAAAACAAACTATATATAACGCTACACAAATTAAATGTCAGTATTCATTGTTTCTAACTCCGTTACCAATAAGGAGTTGAAGAGAGCAATCAACTGACATGAATTATTGGTAGCGTATATATATATATATACATACATGTATTTGTTTTTGAACATAAAAATATAAAATACGGTAGAATTTCTTTTTTTATTGTGATGAAAATATTTTATTACACAAATCCAATCGCTTTTATTCATTAATTGTTGATTGTCATACAATAATAATATATGCGCATGCGCATTTCAATCATGATCAATTTTGCAATCTCAAAAGGAAAGCAATGGAGATTAAATTTGAAAAATGTAACAAACTTTAAACAGTTGTAATCGATAAGTTTTTCAAAGACACCCAATTTTTATTTTTAATTGATTTCTAACGTGATTCACAATTATAGAAATCTTATGTAACCGCGATAGAAATTTATGAAATTCCCTTAAATAGAAAAATGTGTACATTTTTGATTTTTTTTTGAAAGTATTTTATTTCCGTACACACTCGATCCAAATCCAAAATTAACATCATTGAAAAAGAAAGAAATTTTTTTTAATAATTCAAAGTCAAAAAAAAAAAAAGATCCCGGCTGATTTTTTTGCGCATGACTGCGCATGACGCTAATTCTTTTTTAGAATCTTTACTATTTATTTTGGGAACTTCTTCCAAGTACAGTAAAGTTTCTTAATAAGGTTATTTTAAACACCTTTAAATGTATGGGCTTATTTCAATGATGTCAACCATTTTATTAAACAGATAACATACGTAATATGCATTTTGTTTAAGTGAAATTATGACTTCAAATAAATCCCTTGTTTATAATCACTTAACTATATTTGATTAAAACTATGAGAGAAAATATTTTTAAATAAATAAATAAATCATTTTGTTTTTTATATAAATTCCAACGTTTTTCTTGAAATTTAACTTGCGCAAAATACACATTTCTGTTAAAAAAAACTCATTTATTAAAAAAAAATTTTTTAAAAAGCAAACCCTACATTTAATCATTTACTTAACAAAATAAAATGACCGGTCTTTTAAAATTGACAATTGTTCTCTTTCTTATCTTTTCTCTGGCAACAGCTCGTAAGTATAATAATTATTTAGCTGTAAACCGTAACATGCAAATTACGAACTGAAAAATCCCATTTTGCTGCTTCTACAATTATAGAGGTCATTAAAGAATTCAACACGCCAAGTGGGCCAATTTCTCGAGGTGCCAAAGTAATGCTTTCATGGTCATCTATTGAGGGAGCTGATGCATCCACCGTGACCGGATTATTAATCGCTAAAGATGCCAATACTCAAAACACTATAACAATTAATGAGGCAGTGCCGCTTGCACCTGGATCCTATAATTGGATCGTTGATGTTCCTCCTTCAACTTATAACCTTGGACTTAATGATGGTTCTGGTTTCAAATTTACTGCTCCAGTAGAAATTATTGAAGGTAAAGTTCCTCCAAATGATGCAAAATCTCCAAATGATGCCAAAACTTCTGATAAAGGTAAACCTGTGACAACTGATGCTCCAGCTAGTAACCCATCAAGGTAAAACATTACTTAAACTCATTATTCTCAATTTCAAATTTCAAATTAAAATATTTATTTTTAATATCTTTAATATCTCTAGTACATCGCCATCATCAACACCTAACGATTCAGCACCTTCAATTTTATCCGGAACCAATGTCGTATTTAGTCTTTTGGCCGTTGCCATTGCTATGTTACAATTCTAGACAATTTTTTAGATTGACTTTTTTTTTTTTTTTTTTTTTTTTTAATATCTTAATAATATAAAATTTAGAAATTTTTTTTTCAATGGATGAAAAAAATATTGATAGTTAAAATTAGATGAATAATTTAAAGCATCGAAAATTTATTTATTTAACCATGAATAATACATTTCCGAATTCTATAATAAAACCAAAAGATGCTTTCGTGAGATCATTAAATTAGTTAGTTAATTTGGTTGTCTAAATTTCAATAAATGATCATTAAACCTTGTCTCTTTAAGGCAGTGATACACAATTTTTGATTTTAAATATTTTGGACAAGGTCCAAACTGTCCCAAAATTGTCCAATTGCCCCAACACTGCTTTAATGTATATTTATTTTACCTTGAAAGTCTTATTTCTTCGATCTTTTTTTTACAGTAAAAAAAAAAATTAAAAATTAAAACTAACGATTTTGCTACTGAAAAAAAAAACCCGATATTGAAAACGCCCGATGGTTATAAAAAAGCGATTTTAGTGGCATGATATTCGTGTTAACGGTGATCAGTCGATCAGCGGTAATCATAAAACTATAAATAATATTTATATTTATTATAGAATTATTGTTTATAAATAATAAAAAGGTATTTGGGGACGCCCGCAACATAGGGATTGGAATCGATTCAATCGAAAATCGAATCTTGAGAATCGATTAAAGATTCGATTAATCGTTTCTAAGATTCGATTTGGCGATTCGATTTTCGATTTCGATTAATCGAATCGAACCCGAATTTATATTCACAGTGTCAATCAATTTTTTTTAATGCATTTGTGGCGCAGCAATTTCGATGATCACGCGAGACAAAAATTTTAAGCGAATTTAACTAATGATTTATTTAGATATATTAAATTGTTCAATACAAACTTATCAAAAAAATTAAAATTTTAAAATTCATTTTGTCAACATGTTTCCTATTTCTTTTTAAAAACATAATTTTATTAATGATACTTGAATCTAAGAAAGTTCTTTAGGAGTAACTAAATTATTAGCATCAGAAAAAAGTCTTTCTGATGGTACAGAGGTGGCTGGAATAGAAAGATACTTCATTGCCATTTATGCAATATAGGATACTTGGCTTTATTTGTTGCCCACCATGCAAAGGAATCATACTCCTCAAGAGCTGGCAATTCTGGTAAATTAAGGTAATGTTGGACTTCATTCTTTATTGAAGTTATATTTCTTTCATTTTTTTTTCTTCCAAAAGCTGGCCATTGTTGTTAAATTCCTCTGATCATCATTGGAACACTAGAAATCAAATCTCCTTTAAGAATTTCATATTCTGTTTGCAATTGATTAATAATTTCTTCATGCATTCTTTGAGTAACAAATCCTAGGTTTTTAAAATGAAGATCAAGAAATGATCCTTTTAAATAAGTTCTTGAGGAAATTTCCATTTTGATTGTAAATCTTCTAAGATTGCTTTTTTACAATTTTTTGCTACATCAGTTTCCATTTGAATAAATTCAGTTTCAAGAATTTCTTTTAAATTACATAAACTTGGATATATTAAACCAATAGTTAGATAGCCTTCAACATCATGGACTATTCTACATAAAGAGAATATTCAAATAGAATAGAAAACTTCTAAGGTAAATATGTAATAAATAATTATTATTTTTTTTATTGTTGTTATTATTGTTATTGACTAATCAGATGCCTATTTACTGCTTTACCCTGAATAATTATTATACTAGTATTTTATTTACTAAAAATAAAAATAGAATAAACAACAATTTGAAACTAATATGAATATTAAAGCTCTGAACGGTTCGGATTAATCCGAAAATTTTTGGTTCAGATCAACTTCAGTTCGGTTTCGGATTGCAAAAATTTTAATCTGAAAATTTTCGGTTCAGTTCAGATTTTTTTCGGATTATAAATCTAATCCAAACTGAAAAAATCTGAACCAAACCGAAAATTTCAGATTAATCTGAAATTTCGGATCGTTTAGAACAATGAAATTATCATTCTAAACGAACGATAAAAGGATCGTTCGATTGAAACGATTAAATTATCGTTTTAAACGAACGATAAAAGAATCGTTCATTTGGAATGATTGAAGTTATCGTTCCAAACAAACGATAAAAAAATTGTTCATTTAGAACGATTGAAGTTATCGTTCATTTGGAATGATTGAAGTTATCGTTCATTTAGAACGATTGAAGTTATCATTCCAAACGAATGATAAGAAAATCGTTCGATTAGAACGATTAAATTATCGTTTCAAATGAACGATAAAAGAATCGTTTGTTTAGAATGATTGAAGTTATCATTCTAAACAAACGATAAGAAAATCGTTCAATTGGAACGATCAAATTATCATTCTAAAAGAACAATAAAAGAATTGTTCATTTGGAACGATTGAAGTTATCGTTCCAAACGAATGATAAAAAAATCGTTCAATTGGAATGATAAAATTATCGT